TACTTTTCCATTTTGTCTCTTCGTACCATATTCCCAATGTTTAGTCTTTTATAATGTGATTGCTATTACATTATTTCGATCTTCATTTCTGTTAATCTTGTTAATTTTATTTCTTTGTGCTAATAAGATTTGGAGAATGTAATCAATGAACACATGTCAGACTGTACATTGATGATAATTGATTGGATTAAAAAGCACAATTGATATTGTGAGTAAACTTAAATGTTTAAAACACTTGTGTTCTAATCACGGGATAAAATACATATATTTTAATTGTTGTAGAATAGAATCTGAGATAAGGACAGGAACTATCTGTTCTGTTCTTTCAATATAAGTGCTTCAGCACACACGTGTTAGCCGGTAAATGTAATGTGAAGTAAAGTTAAGTGAGAAATGTCTGCTTTTGTCCGTCTCAAAAGGGAGTTTGTTTGACACAATAAAACCAGTTTAACAGTTGGATATTTTTTCACCTAAACAATGTCAAGTTTATTATATCTCGCCAAGGCCATCACTACTGAAAGATTGAAATCAAAATTATGCATCCAAAAAAACATTTCTAAATATGGTAATGCCTAGGTAACTCTTATTTTCCAACATGGAATTGCGTAATATCTTATTTCTTGTTTATATTATAGAACCTTTTTCTTCATTCTTGAGTCATTTTTCCAAATTTTACTCTGTTAATTTGTTATTACATAACTTGACATCAATTTTAATTTTTTTTTAGAAACTTGTTGCCAAGTGTTTTAAAAATTCTTCTTCTGAAACTTTCACACAAGTTAATATTGAATACTTTCTTAATTCTTCCATGTATATTGCCCTTATTAACTTTTATGAATATGATTTAAAATATGTACATTGATTTTACATTTTTGTTGCTGTTATTGTTGTTGTTGTTGGTAAGTTGTATGCAATTGAAGAGAAATCACAAAATGAATGAATTAATCTTATTCGATTAAATTTATTATTGTTGCCTTAATAGAGATTCAGTATTGGATTTGTACATAAAATCGATTATAATGGTTATATAATTGTAATGATTTAAAAAATTTTTTAGAACGATTTTACCCGATATTTGAACATCCGAGTAATAACAGTTATCAACATTCATAAACTTTAAATTCAACGGTTAGTCGAACATCCTTTTAGATAAATTCTATAGTGACAATTAAGAATTTCATGGAAATACGTTTTAGTAAGTGAGGTGATAGGGGTTAAATTAACTCGCTTTAGAAACCCGTTTAAACTTACTGAAATTTAGAATTATCTAGAGTAAACATCTTTAAGATTCATATAATAAAAAGAGATGAAACCAAATGGTGGAGACCAGAATATTTATATCACAACGCGTGATATTATGAATACATTTAATGATTTCAAGAATACCATCATGAAATTTGTGTAAATAAACCATAAATTGAACAACATCAGAACTAGGACTAATGAATCAAAACTATTCATACCAGTACGTAGTATATACGAAATAAAGATTAATTTAATTACCAAATGTTAAACTTTCATTTTGAGTTCCATAAGTGATTAACAGTAAAAGTAATTATTTATTTAAGCCTATTTACGTAAGCAATTATTTGTTAACAACAAGTTGTTGCCAGTATTATAAATAACTGATCTATTATTATTACCATTACTATTATCGTGATTATACGATAATAGCTGACGGAAATTGAGATAAACAATGGTTCTGAAAAACAAAATAAGGATATATATATATATATATATATATATATATATATATTAAACAGCTTGCTACAAAATATGTTAAGGAATTAAGAATATCTTGTGATTATTGATAATGTTACCAAAAAAACGTTTTAAAGGTGAATGTAAATTCTCTGTTTCGAGTATAGAATGTAGCATTTAGAATTCAAAGATAACATATTGTACCGGTAAACACAATCAAGAAGATAACTTTGATAAAATAATTTTTGACAGTTGAACTGTATTAGTTGAACACTAACATTTATGCCATAAGTATCTTCATCACAATATCATCATTATTACTTTACTTACCTACGCCTAATATCATCATTATAGACATGTATTATGATTAACTTGTACAACTCATAAGACAAGGGTAGAGTTAAAATTTATGACTACAGTTATAACAGTGCTATATCTATCTACCAAATTAAACTTCCATGCTCTGAAATAACATACATTAAAACGGAACTCTAGTGAGAAATGTATTAATTGGAGAGTCAGTAAAATAATAGAATGTAGAAAGAGGAGGTTAAATGTTAAGAAAATAAAATCTCTTCCAATTAGAACAAGCTCAGGCGCAAGTTCGATAATGCAATAGGTCTCCGGAAAAAAACCCAGTCCCACCTACTACGATACGAGTATTTTCTTTGAGTTTTTTAAGGATGAACATCCCTTGTTTTATTGCTGCTTCAAAAACGTGAATTTCTTCGGTAGACAACTTTTAACAATAGATAATGTATATTTCTTCAAACAGACAAATTTCTATAATATAACCGATACTACAAATAGTTTATATACAGTTTTCATTGTCCAAATGGAATAATCAATTATATTGCATGGTTTGTTTTATTTGACATCCCATTCTTACTAAGTAAAGAGAAACAGTTATATTATTTTCGTTATATGTTGAGCATATCATTTGATTTTATCAGTACATCCAAATATTCCAGTATCACTACATTCATTCATTATTTATTTAAGCATGTAAACAAAGAACGGGTATAATTGAGACATTGACAAAAAACGAAATGAAAGTTTAATTGAAGACTATATTACATAAAAATTGTTTCCTAATAACAAGTATATCAAAAGATTATAGTCAGACTTAAATAAAGCGCATGCATCCGTAGAATACGATAAATTCGGTATAGTTCGTCGCTTCCTCTTCAACTACAAACAAGCACCTTTAAGTTTTATTGAAAATATTCCCCGAAATCTGAAGCTATGAAGACAGAATAAGGGACACAAACTGGATACAATGTGTGCATTTTAAGTAATCAGTAAATGATGCAGTCCTCCCTTATTAAGATTCCCGGAATCAATAAGTAGTAAATGACCTAAACATGATGTTTGCATCGAGGAAAGTGTATATGATTAACATACAACTACCATGATCACAGATACAATCAGCATGATAACTAAACATTAACATTTTATTATAAAACCACTGGTAATTACAATCACATGAGTTTTATTCAACGTGTCATTTTCATCCTTAATCTCTCATATTTTTGTTAAATTACGTACTAAAATTACTTCAAATATTCTACAATCATTATTCCGATCATTTTTTTAAGACTGTTAAAATTATGATTTTCAATGTCATTTAAATTTTAGACAACTTATAGTTTAATAGTTGAGTTCATGAGTCAATTAAAGTTAGATCACTATGGAAAACCTGGAAGCACTGGACGACCGTTTCGTCCTAGTATGGGACTCTTTATAGTTTATTAATGGACAATTCATTCCTTAAAATTTCAATTATGTTAACATTTTAAACCAATCAAATTTATTAGGTTATATGTAACTGAATAGAAATTAATGAAATACAATGAATCCAATGTATTTTGTAAATATTTTCATTTTTAATTTGTTTACATTTTTAAGCGAAACCAATCGCATCCAACCAGATTTCTTCATCTTGTTAAAAATAATCAAACAGATACTTAATTCATGTCAAAAACCACATTTGATAATAGATTTGTAATTTAGTCTGTCTAATTTAGATATTCTATCAAGTTTTTGATGAATTAGATTAGTTTTTTCTTGTTTCTGCAATAGATTTTATGATGACGTCACACACACATAAACACACACTCTTATATTCAACAGAAGCTAAATGCAACCAATTCAAGACAATCTAATTTCTGAAATTAATTATCGTATATAAATTTTTACAAGATAAAAGGAAAATTAGATAGTTATGGAAAAAAAGCGAATCATACAAAAGTATTATTATATGTATAGAAATACTTCAAATACTCAAATATTTTTTAATTGAGATCATGGATCGATCAATGTTAGATCACCATGGAAAACCTGAAAGTATTGGACAGCCGTTTTGTCCTATTGTGGGACTCCTCAGCAGTGCGTATTCACGATACCGCTCGCAGGATTCGAACCCAGGGTCTTCGATCTCTCACGTGAACGCTTAACCTCCAGACCACTGAATCAGAATTCAACGGTGCTAATGTCTAACCTCAACCAATCCACGAAATTGCGCCACCATCTTCCATTGTACTGAGGTAGATACCTGTCTCTACCCAACACGGTTTAATGGAAACTTTATCAAATGATTGATTTCACCTCATTAAACATGACCTGTCATCGGTAGATTAAATGAAATTTTTACCATATATTAACCTTATACATATGTTTCATTATGTGAAAAACAGGTATATTTATGGCAGTGATTCATCGTTTAATTAATTATATAACGGTATAATTGATAATTGATCTAAATTATTCAAAAAACATGCTGGTAAAGAACTAATTGAAAGTATTTTAACATTAATGAAAAGTAATTTATTTTAATGATGTTAAACAATATTTGTTTGAAAATTTTCAAGCAATCCTTTTAATAAAGACAAGTTATGTATTGCCTAGTAAAGTAGACAGAAGCGTTTAGGCAGTGAATGATGAGGAAGATTTATAGATCAGGTGAATACTTTTAATGAAGTTGTATTCTCCAAGCTGGATATATTCATTACATAATCATCTGTCATTTCTTTAATTGGTTGGGCGATTCAACATACAAAAAAAAATTACAAGCGAATCTACCATATCAAGCTTTCCGGTGTAACAAAGCATCTATGAACTTAATAGTGAGTACTAGGAATTGTTAAAAGTTCCAAACAAGAATGCACAAAAATATTTAAAGTATTACGTAACCAAAACTTTATTGTTAGAGACTAACTACATAAGAAATATAAAAATGGAATTTTAATAAGACTATAACAAGGAGAGAATAACATAAACAAACAAATGAATTAACTTACAAAATGTAAGTCAATACTCCAACCGCCCACATATCTGTTGCAAAAGTTATCGGATCGAAATTGACGATTTCTGGAGCTGTTTATAGTATGAAAAGAGAGAAGAGGTAGAAATTAATCATAATGATTAGATTAAAAAACTGAATTAGGATATTATGACGACGATAATAAAACAAATATCTTTGATTCAGCTTGCATTGTTTGAATACTGCAAATGGTCAGTCTCTTTTGGGATATGTGGATCGTATGCGGATTGTCTCGATAGTGCTTTAAGTCACAATCATTATAAATAGAGAAAGATGGTGGCTAGAAGTGGAGTCCAGGATCCGCATTTCATCCTATTTAAGACTCATCAGTTGGATGTCCCAGCAAGCCAGAGTTTATGTTCACTCCGGGACTGACTGAGTTCAGTCCTAAACGTCAATGGGAGGCTTCGAATGTCCAATAAAAGATGAATTAAAACTCACATCACCGTAAAAGCTAGTGGCTATCTGGAATCAGTAGCTAAGTGGATAACGCGATGGCGTTTGAAGCGAACAGCATAGAGTTTGAGTCCCGGAGTGGACATAAACTCTGAGATGTACGTACATTCAGCTGATCAGTCACAAATAGGACGAAATGTGTGTGCTGGATTCCGTTGCTTGCCATCATCGATCTCTGCTTACAATATTTTTTATTATTATTGGTGTTTATTAGTAATATAATAATCATCTGTCCTATAACCAGAATAAAATGGAAATGGATAATGTACTAACTATAACACAACGTAAAAATTTTCGAAAGCGAGTCTATATAATTCATTGTTAAACAACTGTGCAGTATATGTAAAGCTTAGATCGCAAAGTATTACGATATGCCTCTGCAGCAGAACATCACAGCAAAAAAAAGTTATATTTAGAAGCAGTAAAGTACCGAAAATTGTAATATCTAATTACGTTTACGTTAGTCAACTTCATAGATATGCTAAAATATTGGCATGTAGGATTAAGTTAGAGGAAACATATAAAGTTGAAGAGGACAAACAGAATATCAGACTAGAAAATTAGTATGAGGTATTCAAAGTCTCTACAACAGATGTAGAGAGCTAAACAAAATATGGTGACATTTAATTTGGTACAAGTATTTTAAAAGTATTCAATATACATGTAGAACAACTTTCTTCATCTAACCAGATTTATTTTCAAATTGCTTACAACAAATATTTCTACTTCTATTTTTACTCATTAATTTACTAAGAACGTTTCTAAGATCAACAGCGTTATTAGATTAGATAGTTTTGTCATTCGTATTAGTAAATATCTTCAAATTTTTATGTGTAACCAAAACAATCATGTAGAAACCATATATAATTTCAAAAATTACACACTTCTCATCAAAAGATGTTACTTCTAAACAACACTAAAAAGAACAGGAATTGGTAGTGAGTGTTAAAAACTGGGATTAATTAGTAGCTTATACTAATTCTGAGAAAAACTTTTCATTCTCGTCAATACTGCAGAAATAAACGACAATATAAGTTTGTATCCGCAGTTGAAAAAAACAACAATAAAACATGTAACGAGTGGAGAAATATTGATAATTAACTTAATATTGATCAACTGAGAAATTGCCTACAAGGTTTAAGTGTCCTGTGCGGATAATAATAATAATAATAATAACATTAATAATAATAAACATACGAACGATGAATTTACACAGACGGAATAATCGATTTGTATGTGTATGTGATCTGTATGTACATGCGTGTACACAGTAGGTTTGTGTATATTTGTACTAATTGGCAAAAGAAGTGCGTTTATGTGTACGTGCATAATTAATTTCACAAAATTGAGACTTTTTCAATTTTGTCTTAAATATAACAGGATATTATGTGGTTATTAGAGTTTATTTTATGAGTCAGACAGGGAAATACGGAAAAAAATTCATAATTTTATTACTGAAGTGTTCATAATAGCTGATAGACGGTCATTTATGGACGAACCAATGAAATTAGGGATAGCAAGTTTTGGATTTGGGTGCAAAATACATTTATATAAATAGCATTTTGAAATTATAGCTGGTGTCAATTAGTGATGAAATTTTTTTACATTGATCAACAAAAACGTAGAACTTCGTACGTACGTACATCAGTTCGAGTTGCCATACTACATTAGCACAGAGATGCATTTGTCGATTCAAATCACATAGTGGTAGAGATAGCAGAAGTATACACAGTAATCAGAAAGATTAGGATTTGAAGATGTTATTCAAGGAGTATAATCCAGTGAAATAGATTTAGAAAGAAAAAAAAAGAAAGGGACGTGAAGAATTCAGAAGATTAGAATTTGGGAGAACATAAAGAGTGGATGCACATGCACTATTGCAAACGATTTTGAGCCATGTCATTCAAAGTCTCTAACCATCGGTTGCTATCGTCTCGCGGATCCCAACCAGGTATTTTACACCTACCAATATGGCTCAGTCCACTTGTCAGTGACTTCATGGATTTGTGTCATGTTTTGGTTTGACCGCCCCTAGCTTTCTTCCAACCTACTTCTACACCACAAAACATCGCTCATCGGGGCAGTCGGTGGTTGGGCATACGTAACATATGTCCCATCTAATTCCAAATTTTAATACAGATTCCTCACATTAACTTATAATTCTTTTTTGACACTGGTAAGTTGATGACTTGTCTCAAGGTCACTATAGTGTTGCTCAAAGGTCATTCACAAATTATAGTCCCACCAAAAATATATTCCAATCGAATATGATTGGGTAGAAACTACTGTAAAGATTAATTGAAAATGGTTTCTCACTTTTAAAAATAATCAAAGAGGAACTGTTGGAAAGCTAATTTATTTTTAGAATGAAAAAATAGAAGTTCGAATCAACATGTTAACGATATGTGTTTTTCTTTTAGATCATCATATACATTTGCAATAAATGTATTTCTGAATTAGTCAGATCAACCAATCTTGGATACTGAAATAAAAATACATTTAAGAATGTTGCAATAAAGTCTCATAACTGCCGAAGTTACTCAGCTGCTAAGAACCAGACCAGTTGAAGTTACAATAGGATGTATGGTACAGTAGTTTGAAGTATAGTTACTAAACAAATGAGAGAAACACTACAGACTATAACTATAATCAAATGACTATTAACTTCAAAATTATAATCATATATTTCAAACGTTGTATGACGAACTGGTGACAGGTTAGCATCCTTTAAAAGCTTTGTACTTAACAGTCAGTCAGTCACATGCAACGTAGAGAATGAAACATATGTGCATTGGTTCAAGTTTCCCTATTCTGTTAGCAAAACGAGATAAAGTTACAAGACAAATCTATAAGTAGTAGAAGTAGTAACAGTATCAATAGTAGTAGAAAATATAAAACACAAAAGATATTATTGATAGAGCAAATATGGATTCGTGGAATCAGAAAACCGTAAGATAATGTACGAATTTGAGATCCAAGTAAAAGCAAAGAATAAATACATTCACGCCATTGCGAACAACTCTAAACCATTTCATCCAACATCTCCAACCACTGGTTACGATAATCATGCCGATTCTAACCAGGTAATCTCTACTTGATTATACGGTTGAGTCCGATTGTCAATGACTTCATTAACTGATGCCATTGTTTTGATCTGACCACCCATAACTTTACTTCAAACTACTCCTATACCATACAACACCGCCCGACGAAGTAGGCGGTAGTTTTGTATGCTGCATACATGTCTCAACCAAGTGTAGTGACCGAAACGTTCAACTACTCCACTCTCTACCGTTAGCTAAGGTGTTGATCCAAACCAGTCCCAAGAAGATTTCGGATTTAGAGGCAGAGAATCAAATCTCAAATATGGTCTCATTGTTGTTTAAAGTGGTGAGAAGATTCTGAAAATTATCAGTCTTCAGTAACCTGGGGCATATTATCTGCGTATTCTAAGTCAACAAGTGATTTTGCCTATGGGAGACCAATTCTTGAAAAGTTAGACGACGAGAGTGTTTTCGCTAAAAGAAAGTCTATGACAAAGTTAAACAAAAATGAGGGAAGTGGAAAACTGAAGTTGACGGCACTGATGATAGTTCGCCATAATCTCAAACTTAATCAGCAGTATTTGAGTAAAGAGCTTGCATAAGGTTGATTGCTTTCGTTTGTATGACTTTTAATGACAGATACTGCCATAGAACATCTTGATCAACAGAGTCAAATTTTTCCTTAACGTCGAGGAACATAGCTATAGCTTGACGTCGGGAGGTACAATTATGTTTCAAGACCTGACGAACGGTGAATATCTCGTTTACACATTCACGTCCGGGTCTGAAACCAGCCTGGTCTACTATAAAATCACTTCACTTCGGAGAACACCACATCTAAAAGTAGTTTGTTGACATAATATTGACACTTTCAAAATGGACAAATACACAACTGAAAGTGATAACTAAACTTCAATCAAACCAAACGGGTAGATAAACAAGAAACGATTATATGGTGTACTGCCAAATGTAAATGTACTTTAAAATAACTTAAGAAGGAGAAATAAACAATCAAAGCGAATAATAACAATGAGAATAATAATGAAAAGAACATGGAGAAACATGACTAGAAAAAGTCAGACAAGATGAAGACAACAAATGTATGAGAAACATTGATGATGATAATAAACTGTTTTTTATCATCAGTAAGATAATAAATAAACAGATAAATTTGCGCAGTTACTATCGACATTGGAGTTGAGATGGTGAGGAAGATTTGTAACTCAGATGAATGATTTAGGTGTTTTGTTTTTCGAGCTGGATGGTTTGGTCGTGAACCTTTCATTGTTCAGAAAAATAATGACAGGTTAAAGGTAAAAAATAATCATTTAAGAACGAGGTCGACAGGACAAGATGTAAGTGGATAAGTTCGAACACATCACTTCTACCTAAAGTTTGTGCTGATGTTCAGAAGAACAATGAAAGATCCACTACCGAACCATCCAGCTCAGAGAATAGAACTTCATAACTTCTAATCTATTTTATTTAAAAGGACTATCTATACTGTCCTAAATAATTTAGGTTACTTGATCACTTGTTTACTGATTAAACAA